GTCTGGCCTTGTCACGCTGGATTTGGCCTCTCCAGCCACCAGCGTGGTAGCCTGGATGTGTCCCTGTCTCTCCCAGCAGCACTTCCCAGCTGAGATCCAGCCTGGTGCAAGGAGGGAAGTGAGTATGATGCCAGGTAGGTACATCAGCCAAGCTCCGGCGCAGGAGTGGGCACAGCCTGGCATAGCCGATGGGAGATGGTCAAGGCACTCTTTGTTTCTCGTGGTTTTGTGGTTTTTATTTTTCTTCCCCATTAGAAAATCAAAACCAAAAACCATTTAAAAAAACCCCAAAATACCACCCAGGAAGATAGAGAGCAGAGCTCGCTGCAGCCTGCCTCTGTGTCCCAGGGCTCAGGGCTGCCCGTGCTGAGGTGGCACTGCTTCTATAGACCACAGCCCACCACAAACTCAGGGGTTTAAAGCCCTGCAGACAGAAAAGCTGAATTTCCCCAGCCCAGGGGCTGCTGAGTGCCTGCTCCAGGTGACCCACCCATACCCTCATGTTTCATGATTGCCGAGAGAAACCTCAAGAAAAAATTGAAGAAAACCCTGAAAAACAACCAAACCAAAGCAGGAAAACAAGTAAGAGGCTGCTACAGAAAAGCCAGATAGAAAAGGGTGAAAAAAACTCCCAAGCCCAAAAAGAACCATACAGTGATTGTTCCTCAAGTAACTGTTGCAACCAGGAGGTGAGGGCAGGGCTTCCCTGGCCAGGCACAGCCCCACAGCCCCTGCCCCACACTCAGCACTGGCTGCACACGTGGAGGGTCCCACTCTGGGGGACCTTTCCCATGATTGCCTTTTTTTTGAGCTTTCCAGCATCTCAAACAAAAAAACCCAAAACCACCCACCTGATTGACCCAAAGAAAGTGGTTTTAATGACACCTCTGGGGAGGCAGTTTCCTTCAGCATCTCCCCATCCCATGCCATGGGTTACCTGTCCAGCCCAGGAAGCCCTGGGGACCCTGAGGGTACCGACTGTACCAGACTGGTGTCAACCAAGCATCACCCTGGCAAAACAGCAAAGACTTTGGGATTTCAGCTTCTCACCAGAGCTGTTTAGAGCAATGCAAAAGCAAAAGCATGGTTCACCCACTAAAGCTATCTCTAATCTGTTTTTTCCCCAGCCCAAAAGCGAAGGAAATCCTGTCGCCTTGACCCTGCTGCATCCTGCAATCCTTGAGCATCCTGCAGCTGCTCATGGAGCCCAGCCAGAGGGACCAGGCTGCTGCTCCTGTAGGTTTCTTAGCTGCCTCATGCACAGTCACTCCCAAAATCTGTCCTACCCTTCCCCAATCCTCAGGCACAGGAGCAGGGATGCTGGGCCCTGAAGTTGGGGTTCCTCTTCGTCTCCCAGCCCAGCTGTGCCACCAGCCTGCAGTGGGGCATCAGCAATGATCAGCTTCTCGCAGCTGCTGGCTCC